TCAGAATGTAATAATAGTTAATACTAGTTGTATGTTCACACTTTACTATCAAAACCACCATTTCGACCACCCATGTGCCAGTTTTCAGTGTTTGGGCGAGCGGTCAATGTTTTCAATGAGCGAGCGAGCGAAAAAAAAAAACGCGATTAAAATGCGGTCGGTTTCCGGTCGGACAAGACCGCGTGGTCGGAAATTAAGCGATAAGCGGTCGATGTAAAAGCGGAAGGTTGGGCGAAATGAGTACTGTATGACCATGTTTCTCCGACGAAGTCTCGACTGACAATAATGCTGACAATGGACGTTAGATAAACACGCATTGTTTGCAACTGGAAGCTTATCACCCGTTATATCAGAATCGTCAACAACAGAGTATACAGATAAGATGTTATCATTTAATTCCTTCCAAAGATAAACACTATGCAAATATCCACGAAACGGCAGTTGTAGTCTTTTCTGCTAGTGTTTTAAAACACTAATTTGAGCAACGTTATTTCGCAATTTCGATCTTTTGTAAACCTGGGGTGATGTATCAAGGTCTAAAGTAACCGTTTTATCAATTTTTGAAAGATCAAGAAAAAAGTGAAAATTTCCCTTCTCGCTACCTTAAGCATCTGCTTTACAGATCACTACTAATGTTTCATCAGAGGTCAAGTCAACATTGCATTCCTGATGAGACACATCAATCATGGTCAAAGTTATCGTTCCGGAGGTTGGAATGTCTCGCTACGGTATATGGCTATCGCAGTGGGCTTGAAATTTTTATTTCTCCGAAGACAATAATTTTCATGACAGAAATGTAATAGCCGTGATAAAAAAAAGTTGGTAGTCTTCGGCATGACATTGCAAAATTGCTGGCCCCAGATTCGCAAACTGCTACCAAGTATAGCCAAAACACTCCCAGTTACGGGTTGCTACAATATTGGTTTCATTGTCACCGATACTAAAGCCGGCTGAGTGAGAGAGACACTTGCGTCGCGGCTCTCCATATACCGTAAGATTTGCTTGAATTGTTTCTAGGAAGCACAAACCAAACGTATTTCAAAAAGAGAACTACTTTCTGCTGACTAATGTGATTCAGATAAAAAATCTTAAATTACGTAAACGGCGACGAATGCAAAATTACCTATTTTGTGTTATTTTTCAAGAATCACAACAGACTGCAAGGAAGTCAACTCTTAATACAATTAAAAAAAAATACGTTTTTTTTATTTTTTTTTATTACAAGTGTATGCCAGGACATGACCTCAATTTCTTGTATCAAAAGACCTATATGCTATCTGAAAGCTTAAATACAGGCGACTATGCCATCTAACTGATGGCCATTACAATTTTTGACTATTCAAAACTTTTAGAATGACCCATGAATTGCATTGCTGATATTTACGCTTTCAGATGGCATAGACTGGTAGATCATTGTAGTTCTCCCATTGATACTTCAAGAGTTAGAGCTGAAATTGTTGCACACAGGATGTACGGTACTGGAAATATCGACTCTCCTCATATGTATGGCCAGTGTATTACAATGTTCAGAGAACATTTTAAGTACCAGAAAGATGTTTAAGGTTTTAAATCAGTTTGCATGATTTATTTTAATACTGCAGTGCCATTGGTTGGTACATATCACATGATGAACACACTGCAATGATATTGGTTGACAATGTCACAAGTTGCATTTACTGCAATGCCATTAGCTGATCATCCTCCTCATCTCGACATTTAGAATGTAATATTTCTCGTCTTATTTCCGGAGTGATTTGTTCGTGAGATTGATTTCTCAATAAATCAATCAGCGCCTCTTTTTGCTCGGTCGATATATCTTGTTTATATCTCTGTACAAAGGTCAACAAACACTGGTGCCACAGTACTGGTAACTGCCTCTTATCATGAAGAAACCTACAAACAAAAATACAGATATTTGACATTTGCAAAGAACAAATTCCTGCACATTGTTTCCCTAGAAACAAACTGTTTGGACTACTTCCTACAGACACTACAAATATTTCCCCAGTATCGTATTTGCTTTATTAGAATCGCATCTCCAATAGAATGTTTGATATTTATTAAATAATACCTCTTGATTATGATGTACTAAATATTCATTTCCGCCATACGTCACTTTACTGGTATGCAAAATTGCCAAATAAAAAGCACGCAAGTCACAGGTTTTTAACTGTCATATGTGTCAAGAAGCAAAACCTTATCGTATATTGAGTCATGTGACTTATGACCACAGATACATCGCCATCTTCATGGGCCACAAGTAAATCGAATTCCTGAAGGAAATTGTCCCAACCCCCTAAGTTGTGCCTTTAAATTTTCACTACTCGGAAGACCAAGACATTTTTAATATGTTTTGCCTCAAAAATAATTGTCTTTACAATTCCTAAGTTTGAGCTCCAAAATATGGTACATTCTACCACAGTTTATTTTACAATTACCTTAAGAAATGATGTACTACAGCATCAACAACTCTGAACGGCAACGCGTATTTCTTGTCTAATAAGAGCCTTAGGAAAATGCTATTAGCGCCATTGTAATCCATTTCTGCTATCTTCAGCATAGCAGCACTTGCATGTAACACTGGTATGGAGATTTTACTGAGAATGCTGCCAATAATTACTGCTTCCCTTAATGTACATGTACCACACTGCAAAGTAGAAATACAAATCATGAGCTGAGACTTTTTTAATGTTTATATTTATTATGCAGAAAACTTTTTGAATTGGCGAATCAAGTTGACTGCCGTATTTGTGCTATCAGAAACACACGACAATAGAAGCAAACATTAACCCAAATTACATTTATTTTACGTTAGATGGTTGAAATATTTCTTAGTTTTGACCATGCAACACAGCGATGTAGTTCACTTACTCAAGCACTTTGAATAGAGAAAATATGGTATTTAGGAGAAATTAGAACGGAGTATTCATTTAATAATTAAGAACAAGATGCAGCAACTTAATTATTAAAAACAGACAGATATTTCAGTTTAGAATTGGAAATTACTGAGTTAATACCGGTACTTCAGAAACTGATAAAGGGTTCTCAGGTCAGTCAAAAATCTTTACCAGATAAAGGGTACTCAGTTCAGTCAAAAATCCATTCCAAATAAAGGGTACTCAGTTCAGTCAAAAATCTTTACCAGATAAAGGATACTCAGTTCAGTCAAAAATCCTTTCCAAATAAAGGGTACTCAGTTCAGTCAAAAATCCTTTCCAAATAAAGGGTACTCAGTTCAGTCAAATATCTTTTCCAAATAAAGGGTACTCAGTTCAGTCAAAAATCTTTACCAGATAAAGGGTACTCAGTTCAGTCAAAAATCCTTTCCAAATAAAGGGTACTCAGTTCAGTCAAAAATCTTTACCAGATAAAGGGTACTCAGTTCAGTCAAAAATCTTTACCAGATAAAGAGTACTTGGTTCAGTCAAAAATCCTTTCCAAATAAAGGGTACTCAGTTCAGTCAAAAATCCTTTCCAAATAAAGGGTACTCAGTTCAGTCAAAAATCTTTACCAGATAAAGGGTACTCAGTTCAGTCAAAAATCTTTACCAGATAAAGAGTACTCGGTTCAGTCAAAAATCCTTTCCAAATAAAGGGTACTCAGTTCAGTCAAAAATCTTTTCCAAATAAAGGGTACTCAGTTCAGTCAAAAATCTTTTCCAAATAAAGGGTACTCAGTTCAGTCAAAAATCTTCACCAGATAAAGAGTACTCAGTTCCGTCAAAAATCATCACCAGATAAAGGGTACTGGTATTCAGTAGTCAAAATTGTTAAAAACAATATTTACCTCACAAAGTGGCAGAATAATTCCTTTAAAAAATGCAGCAGGTTTAAAGAGAGATTTCTTCAAAGCCTGTAGAGAGATAGAGTATTACATGTTGAAGTTGTTACCCATTATTAAAGCCATTCCACAGTCTTGTGTCCAACACTATACATGCAATTTGTAGTGTTATAAAATGTCACAAGGCATTACACAATTCGGTGTTTGATTCAGATGAAACACAAATTTTGACAGCACTGTTGAAATATTCACAGTAATTTCAAATGAGATCTTCATCACATATCACACAAGTTACATACCCATCTCATAAACCCTTGAATACAACAAACTTAATGACTAACTGTAAATAACATATATCCTTCGGACGGAGCTACGACACAAGATGTTCTAAGTTACTAAGACGTGCACCACTGTGGAAGACCGGTCAAAGAGCAGATGAAAATAGCTAAATTCGAAAAAACAGCACAAACTCAACTTTCATTACCAGTAATCCTGAACAACCAAATTTATACATCTTGCACACACAGGGGTAATCTTGTTACACTGTTCAGGGGAGTCTCAACAACTATCCCAAAGTACAGTTTTCTAAGAGTTTTCGGCCTTTGTTTTCACCGTGATGGTTGCCAGGCGATGAAAATGCCAGGATGTAAGTTATATTTTCTGATGTCCTGTCTTTTCACATGCTGTTCATATTCTACAGTCATTTATTTATATTTATATTGATACAATTGATGCATATAACACAAGACAATAACAGAATTCACATACCATGTATAGATGAAAATTTAGCCTTTTGTACTCTGTTATATCATCCCGTATCCTAGGCAACAATAAAAGATTCAAAAACCTGGAATAAAAAAATTCAGAAAGAATGATTAAATCCAGATATAAATTTGCAAGAGAAATCTTTACCTATAGGGCTTGTATATTTATTCTTATTCTTATACTAGTTCACTATTACTTTTAGTTTTATTATTACAAAGAACAAAAAATAATTCAGAAGGAAAATGCGAGTCATGGCTTAAATCAAATATTAGTTGTAAATATTAGCATGTTCTTTATTATGTACTCATCAGGCCATGTACAATATATTTTTTACTGACTTTGAAAGCGAAAGTACTACAGTGGCCATTTGCAAAAATAGTAGCAAAAAAAAGTCATGAAGGATTTTCGATTAATTAAAAACAACAACCACTAAATTCAATAAAATACCCTTGGCAGTAGCGAAACTGATTAATGCGACATGATACAGTGTAGGCAGCCAGAATGTAGTATTTCAGTTCTCGCATGATAGTGTTATGATTAGAGCCCCTGAAAGGTCACAAGCCATGATGGAAAGCAAGTTGCAGTTTTTGACATCAAATTTTCTTGGAATTACGTAGAGCCAGCAACGATTTTTTGATTTCATAGACATTTTAATGATTTGTACTTTCATCGAAATCTTTATTTTCAACAATGGAATCAGCATTTCTTCAAAAATTTTTGTTTTCAAATCAGACATTCATCGTGGTGTGATCAATACCATAGGTGACAGACTGCTCTATAAAAGTGCATTTGTGTTTTACTGACCCAAATAAATCAATCAAAACGTAAGAGCATTTCGATTTAATTTACAATGTATTTTCAACATTGGCCGTGAAATGATCAGTGATTTAGATAAATAGACTATAAGTATATGCAAACCTAAATAAATTTAGCTGCTTTCTGACTTCTGTTATGTCTGATATTTTTAAAAACAAGGCATGGATGAGTCTTATAGAACAATAGCTCCAGAAATCAAAGACAATAGAAAAAGTGTTAGAATTGAGCAAAGCCTTGGGTCCCTCAGAGCAGCCACAATCTTTGTATCCTGGGGACAGGTTGTATTGTATTGTATATTTTATTTCACCATAAAGTAAATACAATAAGGTACTTGTTAAATACATAATGCTTTGTCATTATGATGTGGAACATGATAAATAGCTCAAAAAGAGCTAGTAAAACATCATGTCCCTACCCTAATTATAAACTAGTCAAATTATCAGAAATATTAATATTAATATCATAATAACTAATTTAAGGATTCATTTGACCTTCAGAAGAAGTATTTTATTATATTATTTTTATGGACCTATAGTATCAATTTATTACATAGCAGATTCATATTTTCTCATTAAATTAATATACTTTCATGCACCAACAAGAATACCCAATACCCGGAACTATCCGTTCATTTAAATAGTATTACTTTTTTTGAAATTTGTACCTCTGTGCTAACTTAGCATTTAGATTACTGACAAAAATTCTTGTTGCTTGATACATGGCGGCTGCCGTCCATCTTTCTGGTTCAGTTAAATACAATATCTGAAAAGACAAAAGTAAACATTCAAGATTGTTGACGTCCATGTAACGACCACGTGTACATACCGTACTAGCCCGGACTTAGCACCCATGCTCCACTTTTGGGGCCTTTTTTAGTGTCTGATTAAAGTTTGACTAAGTGCTAAACCCCCGAAAAACGTGATAAAACCGATAGGTGTTATTTTGTTTACTATTTGAGTTTTCTGAGAAGAAAGAATGCTGTCAAATGCCATGTTACAAACGTATGCGAATAAACAAGCCACACAGTTAACGCTCCGTGATTTCAAGGCGCTGGAAAAAACAGTATCATGATGGTATTCGTAAAGGTATGTGTGTGTGTATATATTTTTTTTCTTTCTTTGTGTCGATATCTTGACTTAAAATACCACATACGTATAACATTCTACAATAAATTTAATTACAATTACCATTTTACAATGCAATGAAACCATGTTTCGTTGGAAATAAAATGTATATATTTGGTGGTGCTAGAAATGGTCTATTGAAGTTGCTCTTCTTACCTGTTCCCAATTTGCTAGGTTTGGGATAATTTTGAAAGCTTTTGGTAGTTTCCCACTTCTGTATTTTGATAGTACTTCACGAACTCCTCGATATACTTGAATTACTCGTTCATCAAGTTCAGGCATTGCCATGCCATCTGACAAGAAAAAGAACAGATGAGATATGACATCAATGAACATAACAGTCCAGGTGTTCAGATATGGGTGTAAATATAGGTCTAGAGAAGTACATGTTCAGAAACAGGTGTGGAGAAGCAAGTGTTCAGAAACAGGTGTAAGAAGCAAGTGTTCAGAAACAGGTGTGGAGAAGCAAGTGTTCAGAAACAGGTGTGGAGAAGCAAGTGTTCAGAAACAGGTGTGGAGAAGCAAGTGTTCAGAAACAGGTGTGGAGAAGCAAGTGTTCAGAAACAGGTGTGGAGAAGCAAGTGTTCAGAAACAGGTGTGGAAGAAGCAAGTGTTCAGAAACAGGTGTAGAAGCAAGTGCTCAGAAACAGGTGTAGAAGCAAGTGTTCAGAAACAGGTGGAGAAGCAAGTGTTCAGAAACAGGTGTAGAAGCAAGTGTTCAGAAACAGGTGTAGAAGCATGTGGTCAGAAACAGATGTGGAGAAGCAAGTGTTCTGGAACAGGTGTAGAAGCTAGTGTTCAGAAACAGGTGTAGAAGCAAGTGTTCAGGAACAGGTGTAGAAGCAAGTGTTCAGAAATGGTGTGGAGAAGCAAGTGTTCAGAAACAGGTGTTCAGAAATGGTGTTGAGAAGCAAGTGTTCAGAAACAGGTGTAGAAGCAAGTGTTCAGAAACAGGTGTAGAAGCATGTGGTCAGAAACAGATGTGGAGAAGCAAGTGTTCAGAAACAGGCGTAGAGAAGCATGTTCAGATTTGCATTTATCTTCTCAAAAAAGTGGCCAATCATTTGCAATAAAAAAATGTGCCAAATTTCTGACAACTTAGCACACATGACATATGAATAGTTTACTTGCAATACAAAAATGAAAACACCAACAGATTTTTTTCAAATGAAACTTGTTCTGCACACAACATAAAAATGTATTTCACATTTCGTAATTTTCTCTCAAATATGTTTGAGCACATGTCCTACTAATAGAGCAAATACAGTATATGGAAAATGAACAGATGGATGGACAGACTGACAGAATAAATAAATCAAGAAACAATGTTTAGAGTGGGTCATTTACCTGACATTTGACTGGCAACTTCTGTCTGTTTTTCTGTTAATTTTTCTGTAATTATATCGGCTAATGTTCGTCTGATTGGTGGGTCCCGACTCATAAACAGTTCAAGTGCCTTTTCATCTTCTTCATTAATTTCCTGTCAGTGTGAAAATAAATATAATGTAGTGACGACAGCAAAGCTCAGGTTTTGAGTCAAGACTATCAAAGATATACAATTTTATTTTGGGTTAAACCTCACAAAATGTTACTGAACTTTTTGCAGTGGAGATACTGTAAACTGTTTTAATTTCGCAAAGAAAACTTTTCAAAAATTTTGTTAGTCATTGAAGATTGCTAAATTTTGTAGCAGTAAAAATTTCTCTGTCTTCACAAATGCCATAAAGTCATGAAATTGCAAAAATGTTATCAGTGAAGATTAAACTGTTTACGGAATTACGTTTGTTCCCAAGTGCAAGAGATCATGACTTATTACAAGAACCCTCAAAAGTATGCAAGGAAACAAGTACAGCACGTGTTGACTAACTGTCTGTGCATCTTTCCCAATCCAGTTGTTTAGTGTAGGTTGCTGATACTGCAAAATTAGGGAAAACTATAACTTGTGACAAATGTATGATAATATTTATTATTATTTGTCATTTTGCCGGTGAACATAAAACCAAATGAATGATAGACATAAACAGGAGCTTTATTAGGCCAAAAAAAAATTGTTTTGTTGCCTTCAGGACCGGCCGAAAAATATGAAATATTGGGTCGTGTTTTTTCCCCATATACTTCGGCTATTTACGATACTCTTAGTTTTCACGAGTTTAAAAAAAAAAAAATCCGACCGACCGGCCGACCCAATTTTTCAATATTCCGACTTGAGGGCAACATAAGTTGTTTTTTTTGGCCTTATCCTCGGGGGCGGGGCTACATCACAAGACGTTCCACGTTGCTACGACGCGCACCACTGTACATGCATTTCTATGGGCTCTGTGCGCGCTGCTGTGGAATGCCGGTCGAGCCGGTGAAAATTCGAAAAAACAACACAAACTCAACTTTGAAGTAATCCCAAACAACCAAACTTATATATGTTACACACGTAGGGCTAATCTTGTTACACTGTTCAGAGGAGTGTCGACAGTTATCCCAAAGTACCGTTTTCTGCAAGTTTTGGGCCTTTGTTTTGCCCGGATGTCCGCCCCGAGGATAGTGATCATCATGCCTCCTTTATATAGTCCAGCAGTGATGTAGCAACAAAAAACGATAGTTTGTTGCATAGCACCAATAGGCAAACAATCTTCATATAATCACAAAATAAACTTTGATTTTGAATTAACATTTAGCAAGAGTGGTCATTAAAAAATACGACTCACAATGTGTTCATAGAATTCTCCTTCGTTATCTGGGAATGCGTCTTCCTCATCTGATATATCTTCTGCCGATGCTCCAAGACTTGTCGTTTGTGAGGTACGTCCTGAACTTTTACTGTATATAAATATTCAGTAAACAACAAAAGAAATATTTGGTTTACATGCAATTTTATTGAAGATGTGCTTCTAAAAGAGCAAATAATTGTATGATGCCTGCCATTTTTAATGAGTCGATGACATTATGGTGATTTTAAACCAAGTGCTTATTGTTCAAAATTTATCACAAAACTTTATTACAATGACTTTAAATCTTTTCGCAAATGTTTTTAAGCAATGTGTTATAATTAACTTTTACTTTTGGTGTACCGTAAAATCTGTTTTAGGCGCTCTAGCTTCTATTACTAAAATGGTAAAATGCAACAGAGGGGATGCGGCTTTCTAGAACATCTATACATGATGAATTTTTGGTTTTCAATTGTTCAAAATAAATGATTGTGGCTTGTTATACAGATTTTACCATATGTACGCATACAAAATTAGATGCATTATATCTATAGCCAGTCATTTATTAATTATTCAAAAAATTACTCACCCAACTCCATGTTCTGCTTCCAGCTCTTCTTGTTGTTGTCTTGCTTGTTCTAAAATCTTCCTTGAGAGTTTATCATCTACAAACTTAGAAATGGCAAAAAAATAAATAGATTTATAATATGAACAGGTTTGACCATTTGGGGGAAAAAAGTACAGTGAATTCAATGAAGGCATGTGTTTTTTATGAAAATTGATAAAACATTCATGAAATATTTTCCCTGAAAAAATCATTTTATGGTAAAAACAAAACACTTTGTGTTTGGTGTCTTTCACGGTCAGTCATATTCACCAACACATTTGTTCTCAACTCTATAGTGATATCAATCAGTTCCCACCACAATTAGATACAGTGTCACATTTTGGTTTATTTTTAACAAATCCAAAGCACTCTAGATATCTCTTTCATGTGTACAATGTTTGCATTTGTAATCTGACAGCAATCTGTTGGTCGTCGCTGTCCACAACAGCAATACGATTTTAGATGCAGAAATTGAGAACCATAAATGTAGACACATGACATCGAAATTAACACTAAATACAGCTATCCTGGAAAGCTTTTGAATCATCGTTCGCCATGATTGATGCAATCAATGTTTATATCTATTAGCTTGAAACGTTCAAGTGAATGTTGTTGACTTCCTGGGTGTGCGTCTTTATGTACAGTGGCATGAACATTGCTATATTCAAAGACCAATGTCAAATTTTGAAGTAAAGGACTATTTATACAAGAGACATTACAATAAGTAAGATATCAAAAAACATGTTCTTGATTCACTAAAAACAAGGTGTTATGTTCCCCGAAACAAATGTAACCGTCCAAACCAAATAACCTGCATGCTTGAAAGTTTGGCTTGGTCTTATCGCCCTTCTGTTTCCGAGCAAAAAAAAACATATGATCTATAAACAACAGATTTACGCCCCTTTTTGCACGATTTTTTTTTGAAAATATCATTATTCAGTCCAGCAGTTAGATAGGTTATTTATCATAGGCGCCTGGGGAACCGAAATTTGGGGATGTGAATCACTCCGACGACAAAAAATCAACGAGAACATCTATGAGGGCGCGGGGCTGTAGGGTATAGGGTATATAACCACAAGCATATAGAATTCTGTTTTTGTTATATAAAGTAAGTAGTTTTGGTGTGTGATGTAGAATATAACAGCAGAGTGAAAACCTGTATTTCATGGTATTTTTTCACTATGGAGATACACACATTTAATATGAATGTTACAATAAATGATCATGTTATAGTGAAACAAATGTCAACAGCATAGCACGAGTGTGAAGACAGCATACGGTTCGTTTCGCGTACGATTCACGCTCAACTGCACATGATTCAAGTTTGATTCTCATTTGATTCACGTTCGATACTCCTATTGAAATACCTATAATTCACACGAATATTGATATATATATGAATTTCAGTCAATTTAAGAATATTTTTTGCGAAAAAATTGTATTTTTCATGAAAATCAAGGTTATAAATACTTTCATAGTGCGCATGATAGTTCTTAGATGTGTCTACGAATGCACGGAATATATAATATTTTTTTTAGTTTTTTAGCACTGAATGGTGATAATTTGAGACTATTTTTTTTTTATATATGATTAATGTTCTTTTAAACATATTCATGCGTTTCTTGTGTGTTTCTATAGCTATTTTATACTTGTTTGAGCCACGTGATTTCTGATGTGAGTGAAACTGTTGCAATTTTCTCCGAACAAAAATTGGTTGACCCCTATCTTTCTACACAAAAAATGGTATATATAAACATTTGTGTAAATTATAGGTATTTCAATCGTATGCAAATCTAACATGAATCATACCACAAATCAAACTGTACACTTTCTTCACACTCGTACAGCATAGAACAAATTATTAGTATGAAGGTAACTAAATGCAGTGATTTTTTTAAACAAGGGAACAGGGCTGCAGCGCCCTCATGCCATGGACATGCACCCCCTTACCCTGGGAAGCAGATTCTCTGGCAACCATACAATTCTTAATGACCAGGGATCACATGTGGCCACAGTCTTCAACTGTGACCTGTCTGATAGTAATTTTGGCCCCAAGGAAGCCATAGAGTGCTCTATTTTAACTTAGAAATATCATAAACTCCACACCTCCATTGAATTGCAGTGCTCCCTCTTGCAGTTTTTTCCTAGAAAATCCCCTGTAAATGTATCATTCACCATTGCAATTTATTTCCACTATTTGCCCCTGGCAAATAATTATTTAAACAACTTGCCCAGCTGCGAGGTGAATGTTCTACTTCTGCCAGAGGAAATTACAATTAGAAATCATGTTCAGTCACAAGAAAAAATAGTGCAGAGTTTGAAATTCACCAAAATCCCAAGGACGACGGACTGCCCTGAAGACCTTCACCAGAAAACATTATTTGACAATTTCAATGAGGGCGTTAGAAGTTAAATAATACTGTTATAAAACTCAGATATTAAATACTGCCCCCCCCCCCATGCCACATGTACAATGAAAATATTTCAAGTGTACCAGTGTATCCGACTTTCATAACCGTCTTTACTCTGCATTACAAGTGCCGTGTTTTGGTCTTGTAATTGTGTAGTCAGAAGTTAAATACATATACCATACAAACATACAATCAGCTTTAACTGCCTGACAAAG